CTCGCAGATCAGCGAGGGATCAGCGAGGGAATGTGTTTTTTGTCATTTCCCTCGCTGATCCCTCGCTGATCTGCGAGGGAAAAATTCCCTCGCTGATAGTCGTCGCTGATACCTGGTTTTCTAGTAGTGTAAATGTACAAAAAAGTTCACAAAACACCCTACAAAAACGTTACAGGATGCAATAGTAGAAGAGAATCGATATCCGGTCACTCTTGATAGGAAAGACAAGAAACAGAAACAGCCGATCTCTGCAATTTCTGAGCTTATTTAAGTTGGATGTATAAGTGAAAATCAAAGCAATTTCGTAGTTGCATAATTCCAACTATGAACAAAGAAGACAGAAATCGGAGTTCTATTGGAGGATCAAGTAGATGTCTTTTGCCGTTTTGTTTGAACGATTCTTCTAATTCAATTTTGTTTTTATTTTGAAGAAAACCTAATGTCAGCTGCAGGATAATACGATATTTTAGTTTCAAGAGAAAAAACTTTTTACTAAAACACCTTATATCAACCCTATTGCAAAGACATATCATCATAGTAGGCAGAAACAATGTTTTAATTGGTGGGGACTTCGTAATATAAGAAAAACATATTTCCAACCAATTGTGACATGTTGTGGCTCCCTCCATTCTACGATGGATTATAGATCTAGTTGCCAACTTTTCACAAATTAAAGTTTACCATAGCAACCATATGTCATTGTAAGTTATCTACAACGACTAATCAATAGTCGTTGCGATAGAAGTGTCATATTTGATATCGTTTCTTGTAGTGTGATAACTAAGTTTTAGGTTGTGAAGAAAAGATTATGACCAATGTCGTTAATGATAGTTAAATTGGTCATGTACATAACGATAACTTAACAAATTCAATTAATAAAAAAAGCTAACTGTAATGTATAAAAGAAAAAAATAATATAAGTTTTATGAATGGCATATATACAACAATTCGCTACTCAAAACTAGCACTAAGATCCTTTTTAACCTTGCAACAAGCATAACATCAATACTAATTAATAGTGAAGAGTATGCAACAACATTTGGTAAACATGAGAATTTCAAATGCTTACACTGATATATGTGGCATAGGGATCTTATTGGTGTTAAATATTTCGATACGACCCTAGCTCAAGCGCAATTTCGGACCAGCCTATGAGGACCAATTATTTAGACGCTGATTTTCAACTTAGTAATGTCTCTATCTAATTTGGGATTTCATTTATTAAGGAAACATTAGGATTGTTTATGTTGTCGAAATTGACTTGTAGTACTTTTTAAACCTTAGGGTGACTATTAAACCAATCTGACCCAAAAGTACAGTGAGGGTACCTCCGTCTATCCCCTACTTGATAAAGATCTATGGGAGCAGGGGGGAAGCAAGAAAGGCCGACTATTCTGCTTTGGGTGCTACCAAGATCCCAATTGGGTCTCGACATGTGTAAAATCAAGATTAAAGTTGCTTCAAAAATCTCTAAGTGTCAAGTCTAAAGACTCCTCTTTAAAATTCTAAAGAAAAATAATCCAGAGTTCGTGTACAAAAAAGCCCCAAGTCATAACTCTTAAGAGTTATCTTCGGAACTCTGAAAAGATAAATTCTAGAGTTTGGCTACAGACTTCCTTATGCGACAAAGTAATAACTCTGAAGAGCAAACTTTAGAGTTCTGGAAGACATATTTCAGACCAACATGCGACCAAGCCACGAAGTCTTACGAAGAACAAGTCTGAAGACCAAGAGTTCGGAGTTACAATAACTCTGAACTAGTCATACTTAGTGGGTGTGCAAGACAATGCTTCCAAGTTTCGAAGATTATCTAATATGGAAACTTGGCACGTGTAATAGATTAATAGGTTCATCTTTTATGCACTGTATTTATCGTAATTATTTTTGTGTATAAATAGATAGCTTATTAGTCTTTGGCAATAAGATTTGTAATAGAAAACAACCTATTTAAGGAAATTCTTTCCTTGATCAATAGAATCATTCTTTCTCAAAGCTTGTTCTTAATATTCATATTATTCTTGTGATATCTTGATGCATTTTATGGGACCTTTCAATAGGGTCTTCCGCATATGGAAACCCGAGTACTGCATTATTTTGATGGTTGGGGTACGTCCCTTTTTTCTTTGATGTTTATTTATTTCATTTAAATTATTAATAAAAATTCTAACATTGCTTGTATTTGTAGATTAACACATTAGACACCACATGTTCAAGAATTGTTGCTTCGAGAAGAGATCCGGAAGAAGGAACATAAAAGAGACGGTGGAGATGGTGATGAATTTTACTCGATCTCAACAACTTGGGTTTTCGTCATCCCTGCCATCAGAGTTATGAGTTTTTGGTTGATAATTTTTTAAAAATTTGATAAAAAATTATTTAAATAATTAATTTACCTATGGATTATTTTCGGGAGGGTTAGTGGTGGATAATTTGTTGGTGATTTGAATAATTTTTTTTAAAATTAATTAAATTAGCGGCAGATTATCCTCTACTAGTTTGTCGAAAAATTAATTCAATAATTAATTAAATTGGCCAAATTGGAAAAAATGGAAAAAATTTAGTGGGGGATTTCTGGCTGATATGTTCGCCCGAAAACCTCCAGTGAATAGTAGTGATGACATCTGACACAATAAGTGTTATTCATACTGAAAGATTCATTCGTTTATACTTTTATTCAAAAGAAATGATTTAGAACTGAATAGCAGTTCATTTCACATTTGGGATGAGCTTAAAGATGTTTAGCCAACCATTCTTTAGGAAGTCAACATGCTTTCACTTGTATTCCACCTAGAGATTGCCAAACATGTACGACCCTCCATGGCTCAAGACCGGCTAAGGACCGTGACCGAGACCGACTGGGACCGCGTCGGGACCCTCAGTTACTACTTGGTTACGGTTTTCAACAAAAAAATACGACCCAACTCGGCCTGGCCCAGGACCAGTTATGGAACAACAATTGGGACTGGACCGATTATACTCCAAGGCCTGATTTTTTGAAGAAAAAA